ATTCCCAAAGAGTAAATGTTTTCACATTTAAACAAGAGAGGAAACACAGATTTCCAAGAGAGCTTTGATCTATTTTTTGAGTAATAATCCCAAACCAAAGAAAGAGTTATGTTTTAAAACTCATGAGCTGAGTGTATTTTGGGAGTAGTATTGAGCACCAATAAGGGGACGAGTTCATAATAACTCAAGTCTCCAAAAACCATGTAGTCATCGTGGGTAGGAAGCTAAGGGTCATACTTTTTAGATGATTCCTTGATGTTTTGTAGCATAGACTAGTAGATCCACTTAGTTGAGGCGTTTTATATCCTGGCAAGTTATAGGACAGTTCTGGAAGTGTGGGCGAGACGTTGTACCATCACATAACTCATAGTGATGGTTATCGGTTAGAGAAACTCCCACATAAGTATATTACATTGTTATATAAATATACATTGAGTTGTTATTGTATTTTTCAATACATTGAGTTGCTACCTACTATCTAAATGCTTTATATAAACTGCATCTTTATTGTTGTTTATTTATGCATTGAGTTAAGTATCTATGAGTTGAGTAAAGCTGAGGTAAGTGTTTCTTTCAGAATTCAATTCAAGCTTATGTTAAATTTAGTTTTCCCCTCGCATGATCGTACATTCAATGTACTGATGTCATTTGGCCTGCATCATCTTATGATACAAATACAGGTAATCGGGATCAGCATCCAGCGCCTCGTTGATCTAGTCGAGCACTCAAAGTCAGTTGGTGAGCCTCCTTGCTTTCCGAAGGATCCCTTTGGTTATGTTTGGTTTTATTGCTTTGTTTATTTCAGTTGTTAGGACAATCAGGGGTATTGTCCTGACATCCCTCCTAGTATTTAGAGGCTTCATAGATAGCTAGTTTTTAGTGCAGTCGTCTTGCTATTTCAGCTGTTTGAATATAAGACTTGAGTTGCCACTTTGGCTAAGTTGAATGTTATGTCTAAATATTCTCAGTTTATCTATTCAGACGGTTTATTTAAGATTGTATTTAAGTACATTTTTTGTTGAGTAATTCTTCCGTTGAGAGTCTAGCCAGGCCAAGGGTTCGCTTGGGGCCAGCAATGATTCTCGAGTGTCAGCCATGCCCGAGGTGTATGCTCGGGGCGTGACAGCTTCGTCGGAAAAATTTACTAAATACATATATACAATTAAGAAACTAAAGCAGATATAACAATTAAATATTACAAGTGACCCTCCTTAAAAAAATAATGCACGTAGCCTAGATGGCTTTTTGCTAAAGAACCATAGCCTCATTTTTTCATTTTATGCGTGTTTTTTTCCTCGGGTTCAAACCTCCAAAACCTCGTTTTTTATGTGTGTTTTTTCTTTGACCATCTTAGTTTATTAGTAAAAAGCTCTTTCATGGAACTAATGAATGCATAAAAATCACGAAAATTCAACACATGTCCAACGCTTCAAAAAGTGTATATAAGCTAAATTCAACATTTTAAATCTTCTATAATTTAATATTAATTTGTTAAATCAAGTTAATTATAGGAGAAAGGGCACTTCAAAAAGTGTATATAAGCTAAATTAAGCTAACTAACCCCAAGTTTCATATAATATATATATTGGTGTATAATATTGTATATCAAATTTTTAAGTATTTTTGTTAAAAAAATATATAAAAGTTTTCGTATATTATGATAAATCGAATGTATATTATCGTATATCGAAAATTGTATTTGAGGCTAAATGTTGTAATGTAAATTAAGTAACTGTACTTCAGAAACTTTCGTATAAAATATCATATAGATATTAGGGGGGGCACGTGTTAGACAAATTTAAGCACTTGCGGCCTATAAAAATTAGGAATTGTAAATACGTAATTAAGTAGTTGCGCGGCCTTTCAAAGCAAACTCCTCTAAAAATTAGGAATCTAAATACGTAATTAAGGAAATAAAGTAACTTGAGAAGCAATTAATTAAGTAACTTAGTTTGTTCAGTTACAGTTATAGTAGTAATTTAGGAAATAAAGTAACTTGTGTTTGTTAAGTAATTAGAGTTTTTTTCCATTAGGGTAACAAGATGTGTATAAATAGATAACTATCTTTGTTTAGACTTCATAATTCACATAATTTGTTTAGGTTTACATAGGTTAATTCTGGATCAAGAATCAATGTCGAAGCCAATGGGGATACGTTTTCATCCTACTGATACGGAGCTAATCAACTATCTTAAGAGGTTTTTCAAAGGCGAATTATGTTTGAATGAAGAATGTCCTATCCAGTTTGCGGATATATATGGAGATCAACCACCATGGGAGATATTTGGAGCTAATTTTGAAGAGAAGTTTCGTTACTTTATTACTCCTTTGAAGAAGCAAAAGACTGAATATAAAAGATTTTCTCGAATTTGTGCTAAAGGGACGTGGCAAGGGCAAACCGGGGAACATCTTATAAGGAGGAATCGTACGGCGCCTGTGGTAGGGTTTAAGAGAAATTTCAAGTTTGAAACAAGTGAGTGTGGCCAAAATAACACCTGGTTGATGGTAGAATATCATGTCATGGATAGTTTCTTTAAGGAAAATAATCATATTCCTAAGGAAGATTTTGTGGTGTGTCGAATAAAGAAGAAGATGGGTAAAGAGAAGAATGTGGATCATGTTATGGAGGCACAAGATGGAGATGTTTTGGGAATTATCGAACCTATGTTGTTTGAACCTAATCATAATAACGACTACTCCACAAGGGAAGATCAAGTTAGGGTTTGTGATGAACAAGATGCAGTTGAGGCTACAACTACCGAATTTGATGTTCCCAACAGTACTTATGAAGTAGAAGAAGGCCACGGAGTTGATGATATTAGAAGCGATGAATTTCAGGAAGAGATGTATAGAGCATTTGAGGACATTCCTGTTGATATTCCTGATGATTGGTTGCAGATTTCAGCCGTTCTACAAGATATATAATACACATCAAATATTTATATAGTTCCTTAGATGGATCATGTAGTTGAAAAAAATTTGTATATAGTTCAATTTCGCCCATATATATAAATGTTGAAGTTCTGATTATTGTAGTAAGAATTGTGCAAGCATGTTTTCATATTTATGTTCCTATGCCAATTTGAACACAATAGCTAAGCAGTCATTTCCTAGGTGGGATATATTATCAGTTCTGATTAGTCAGTTTTCTTTGATTCAATTTCCCAGTAGAGCCTGGGATTAGTGAGTTCACTGTTGGCAAAACTGTCCCTTTGTAGTAGATGTTAAGTCATAATTGTTCTTGATTATTTATAGCAAAAATTTAACTCCTAACAGTGATAAAAATCCTAACTTGATGGGAATATTAAGCAATCATTATCGATAACAGTGGTTAAACGCATAGGCGGAACAAGGTTAGGAGTTTGAGAGTTTTAAATCAATTTTGTTTGAGGGTTCACATGTTAATATACATATATTTATTTAATTTTCGAATACAAATATAGGATCTACGAAAAAGCTAGTGGATTCATCCGAGCCCATGAACCGCCAGTACGATGCCCTTCCCTTTTAACCTAATTTTATCTTTTGAGATCATTTCTTGTACTACATTGTTAAATTTGCTATGAATCTTCGTGGCATTGCAATATATAAGTAGGAAATGACTGTTTAGCTATTGTGTTCAAAAGAGCCTCTCAAATACAAGCAGCAGCCCTGAGACATATATTGCAATGACATGAAGATTCATAGCAAATTTAGACCAATAATTAATCTGCCCCATGTGAAATACAGTACAGTATTCTATCATTGACCATTAAGAATAAAACAGCAGTAATTTAGATATTGTTCAAACTCGAATGAATGGTTATCTATTCTTTTTTCTATAATGAAACTTAGAAAAACTTTTGCAGCATAAAAACAAGTCGCTTGGGAATGACAAAATTGGTTCACCTTTTACAGTTTAAAAAGAATAGCGCAATTATTTTTAATCTTCATCATGAAGGAATGTGGGATCATGTCAATTTCTCTTGTTTTGACTGATGTTGTGATAAATCTTTTATCAAAAGAAAATTGTTCATATCATCAGTGAAAAAATAAACAATTCATGAATCTCTACTTCCTTTGGCAATGCCAATACAAAATTGTGGAGGGGACCAAATCCAGAAAATTTGAAGTGCGAAATGCTTCAACTATGATGAACTCTTCTTCCACGTAATAAGTTACATTAGAGAAAAATTATACATTTTGAGGCATGAATCTGGTGCAGAAACTTGTGCTGCTGCAGAAAACCTTCCCTAATATCTTACAAACTGCCTCGTATCGTCAGCTCCTTTCTTTCCATATGGATTGCCCTCACTGAACCCATTTCGGCTTCCTTCAACTTTACGCTTTTTCTGCCTGAACTTGGACGCGTTGCTATCTATGTTGAGGTGTACTTTTGGAGGATTAGAAAAACAGAACGAAGAAGCTACAGCCTGCAGAACAACCGTTTTATCTGTTAAGTGATTTCTGGATCAAAGTACATACCCCTCTCCGCTTATTTACAATACAAATGCATAAGCAATTCCAGCATTAGAAAGACAATGCACAGAATATGACAACCTAAATTGCAGATAGCAAATTTCTCAAGTCCTATGTGTCACATACACAATGTCATACAAAATTTGAATAACAAAAAAACTTGATCAAAGATAATAAAGCACTCCTGAAATTCTTTCAAGGTACAGGAAGGGCCTGGACCATATTCTAAATGCTTCCTTTCATCCTTAAGTTAGAAGATTTGAAATGGTTTAACACTACTTAAAAGGGGAATTGCGGATCTGAATTTTCAACTCTGTATATGTTAAACATGAACACCCTTGAATTAGTAATAAAACCATGAACTTCCAAGTAGTATTTTTGCGCTGCACTAAAATGAATCGGTTTTTATGCCCAGATTCATCCATTTTCTTATTTCCTAAATATTACACAGCTAAGAGAATGTATCTACCATAAAAGGAAGCAAGATAACATACCTGCAGATCAAGTCGGTGAACATTGAATATTTCCTTCATGGAATGAGAATTATATGATAGTAAATAGGACCTATATGCCTCTTTAGCTGACTGGTTCAAGTAATAGTTGTTTGCAACCAATTTTTCCTGCAACAAATTTATGCATTCTTTTATTTCAACACAAAGGTCCTAATAATAAGGTATAAAAAACACACTGGTAGGCTATAAATAAAATAAACACGAGTAGCTGCAGATTTACCAGGATTGACTGCACATTGGCCAGCTTCTTATGATCAAATTCATATTCTTTTACAGGTACTTTTGCCGCCTGTCATAAGCACTACACATTAGACTATCAATGCAAACCACAATTTAACAAACTTATGTAAAAAACATAGAATAACTCAATTGCTCTTTAACAATGGAAGTCATCAGGAAGCAGTTTGAAAGAAATGCCAGCAAAGTTGAAGAAAAACTAACGATCAAAATGAGAAAATCTGTTTGAAGAGCTCCAACTTTTAGCCCGAGCTTTTACCAGATTAATTACATATATTTCACTAATACTTGGTAAATATATTTGTAAGTATCACAGCTCCTAGGTCCTACTTCAAGCAATGCTTCTGATGACACATTTAGAATTCTAACAGATGTTTCATTGTTCTGTAAATTTAACAGTGTGATTATGAAGAGACCTTCAGGTACTTAAGAAACTGCAACTCCTCTGGAATCAAGAATAGCAAAGCGTTTCCTTTAGCACCTTCACCACGTGCTGTTCGACCAACTCTGTGTATGTATTCCTGTAAAGATTTACAACAAAAAAACATTAGAAGGAACACAAATTTATCCCTTCATAACCAACTCTGAAAACTTATAAAGTGAAGTGCCTATTACCTTGGGTTCATCAGGGGGATCAAACTGCACAATCCAGTCCTGGAAAGAGAGACATAACAAGAATCAATATTACTACCTTTCAAAAGGAAAGAGCTGTCAGGGGTGTTATTTCAACTACTTATGAGGAAGCATGTCACTGATTTTTTCACTTCACAAGTTGTACAGTAAAAAAAAATGTTTTTACTTCTAACAAAAAAGCACCAACAACTTCCTTCCAAATCAAATAGAACACACAAAAGCAGAAATAGAGAAGTACAATTGATAGTACGAAAAGATAATTGAATCAGAAGTAATTGAGCACCAACTACATTTTCTATTTCAAGGATTAAAGATTTGTTTCATTTCCCCCACCATCATACCTTAAATCCCAGAAAAAGAGAAGAAACAGTGAATGGGTTCACCCCCCCCCCCCACCC